CATGATGTACACTCAATGGTGTCTTGCTTTCTCGATATGGCTATCACCATGTGATAATTCAGTGACGAGGCTTTGGCCTTCGTTTCTAGATGCCAACCATCACACACAATGGTCACATAGTCCCTTAGCTCACTCTCCTGGGCAACTCCGACCTCATCAAGAGATGACCCATGAACCCCTAGTTTTATTCTATGCCAACGTAATTAAGGGTTTTTCAACTCGACTAGCCTAACTCGTTAAGCCAAGCCTGAGTATCGGCAAATAGCATTTGCCCATCCCGGTTCCTTTGGACCATAATCTCTTGGTCCATTGGACCACAATCTCTCGGTCCCTCAAGACCATAATCTCTTGGTCGCACCATACTCCTATTGGAGTTCTTTGATCTACTATATTAGATATTGATTACATGCTCTCATAAGGCCTTTAATGGCCATAGAGACCATGCACAAGTGTCTATATTTTTTGTCATTTTCCCTCAAATGCCAGTGATAAGTTGATATACTAGCTTATTTTTTTGGGAACCACCCCAATTAGTTGGATGGAAAAAAGCTTTGATGATGATAATGAATCCAACTTGTTATGTCTATGAAAAACAACAATAAGATTCAACCAAAAACTATTATTTCCACTTATACCACACATAAGCCACTACGCTTAACTTTTTATTTGGCAAACGTGAATAAGTAGAATAATAATTGTGTTAGGAATGGTGGATTGTTCTCTGCTCCTTGTTCCCCACCAACAACTTTTCCACCAAATGTTTTCATCCACATAATTATTACGTTGGCCCGCTTTCCCTATGAAAATGGGCCACATGGTGTGCTCCCGTGGGAGAAAATTGTATGTTTGTTCCTTTAGGCAAGAAGCTACTCAAAATTAGATTTTCAACTTGAAATTTCGGGATTCATTTTAGAATTACCAATGGAGTATTTAATAAAAATAAGATATTGAGTTCCTAATCCATCGAAGAATTGGATAGTCTTTCTTTAATTTTGAGACTTTCTTTCTTCAGATACACAAGCTGTAGCGTTTCTGAAGTTAGTCCCTAGACTGTGAAGGTTAAATCCCAAAATTTTGGGGCTTTAAAAATTTCTAAATAGGTTTTCAAAGGAAGGAGTGAATGGATAATATACTCCCATGGGACCAAAACATCTTTTATAATCTTTTAGGTGAGGAATAAATTGTGTCATTTCCACCAGCTAAGCATGCTACTTCCACCAAAGCTCTTTATAAAAGTGGTTGTGGATGTGGGTCTCAATGCTTATTACCCATCATGAATTTTCTTCCCTTGGCCCAAACCCATCTATTTTTTATGTTTATGCATCAACCTACAACATTGGTTTTTAAGATCCAAGTAAAGGATTTTCATTATTGGGCTAAGGATGATTCGAGAAATATCAATAAAAGTCAGACTTCTTCTTATTCTCTCTCTCAGCCAAGTATTATTGTGAACAACCGCTACAGCTAAAGTTGTTAATGGGCCTGGCTGGCATATGCGTGCTTTGGACTGGGCCCAGTTTTGGGCAGGGTACGGGCCCATTTTATGGTCCACAAGCTAGGACCGATAGGCCAGGTGTATTTACGGGATGAGCTAATGCTAGCCCAAACCCAGCTTGGGCACCACCCAAAATCTACTTGGGAGGATTTTTTTCAATCCTAAATTTCGGGAACCATTTAAGAATTACTAGATCATTATTCTTATAAAAATTTAAAATTTAAATTTTCTAACCCTTAGATCTCATCATCTAAAAATTGGATGGTCTCCATTTAATCTGGAGACATTATTTTTTTCAAAGTGCATAGAAAGTACAATTACATAACTCTTTTTTTTATTGAGGTTAATCTATGGGGTTGAAGAGACGCCATCCCCAAAATTTAAGGTCTTAATAGTAATTCCAGGTGGGGTTTAACATGATAGAGTAAATGGGCATCCTACTCCCACTGGAGTATGATGGCCTTTAGCATTTCTACAAACTCTATATAAGGCGTGATTTTCCTAAACACCTTAGCAAAAAACTCCATTTTTTGAAACAAATGAAATAGTATCTGTTTTTTTCTTTTAGAAATTTTCAAATACTTTCATTAATTGCTTTTTCTAGTCCAATCCGAACTATCACATTTTTTTTACTCAATGATTTTTTGGAGGCTCCATTTTCTTCAATATATTCCTCTATCTCCATTTTTTGGACCAAAGTCAAATTATTGCCAAGTTTTCTTTCCTTGGGTAAGTCAATAACGTGTTAGTAGGTTGGTGTTAGTGGGGATAAAAAACCACACTCATGTTAGTTAGGGTGCGGGGGTGCTACCACCACGACCCCAGCCCCTTTCTTTATTACCAAGTCTTTAGTTCACCGGTATTTGTTGTTGTATATGTTGTTAATTATGATCCTCATTAATGGTAGTCCAGAAAAATTTACTTGCTCTCACCCTCTATTGTTAACTTGGTATTGTTTTCGGTCCACCAAAAATTTACTCTGTTAGTTTTAAAATTTGTCGATTTTGATTTAAGGATGGTATAGATTTAGTCCGGGTCCCCTTAAAAAGCTTATCACATTAATGTAGGATATGACTTTTTTAGATACATACTTCAAATTTAATGATGATTATTTGAGATCCTACACACATGAGAATAAAATTAAAAGTTTATTTAATATTTTATTAAATCCCTTTAAATCCTCGTCCTATAAGTCTCAATTTTAATTTTAATTTTAATTTTATTTATTTAGTTTTTTATATTTTTACTTATCATCGATTCGGAATCACCAATATACAATATGTGGAATGAATGATTGGCCCCACCGATTCGGAGTTTGAATCAGGGACTTTACTCTCCGAGAGTATTTTAGTCCAAATGTAGGGCACATGGATTCTAAAGCTAGCAACAAACGTATCTCTCTCTTATCTGAGGTGAAAATAGTGTATCACAACTCACGAGGACTGAGACCTGCCCATTACTACAATTACAGAGAGAAAGGCATCTATCTCTCCCTCCATGCCCCATCTCTTATTAAATTTCTCTCTCTAACTTCTGCCCACCTCTTGTTTTCTCTCTCTAACTTCTGCCCACCTCTTGTTTTCTCTCTCTAAGTTCTGCCCATCTCTTAACCTGTCCCTCTCAGGCCCATCTCTCATTTACTTTTCTCTCACTAAATTTGGCCATGTCTTAACCTCGCTTGCCTTCTCTCTCTGAATTTGGCCTACCTCTTGACTTTCTCTCTCTAAAAGTGAATTCAGTTTTAGGTACTCCAAATAATTTTCAAAAACAAAACAAAAACGAATCCGAAATTTGAAAGCAAGTAAAGTAGGCTACAAATAGGAAGTGCCAAAATATAGACAGAGGACTAGTATGGCTGCCGTGCTCTCTCTCTCTCTCTCTCNTCTCTCCTCTCTCTCTCTCTCTACTACTACTACTACTACTACTACTACTACTCTACTACTACTACTACTACTACTACTTACTCTACTAC